CCCCCCCTTTCTCTCCCTAGAAGAATAAGTCGATATATTTTCCAATCGCTGTTATCATAGGGTAATCAGAAAGCACATGATAAATTGATGTGGCCTCCAGGTGTGGATAATTGTGCAGGGCCGTGCATACTTTGCAGCTGTTCCTTCAGTGTTCAAGTAGAGAAATTAAATCTAATACGAAAAATGTTGGTAATGTTTTTCCCTGCTTATTTTGAAGGCATACGCAGTCACAGCCCTTGGGAAAAATTATTCTTTTGAAATAGCAGCTGGGAGAAAAGTGGACTTGCTTCCTGAGGTAGGCTTTTCTAACCTTGTGCAGTTTTACTTTCACATCTTAATCTTTCTGCTGAAGTGTATCCAAGTGTTGCTTGACTGATTATGTAGCCTTTTTCAAGTGGTACTGTTGACTATAGACAAGCTTAGATTTTCATCGCAGTTCCATGTGTTCGTTCATTAACTGTACACTTCAGGAATCCAGTTTGTATTAGATGACAACAAAGTCCTCCATGATAACTATTATGGTCTTATTATAGCTTAGCCATATCCATATAAATAAAATATCGATATTGACGTACTATTTAGTGATAAGTTTGTGGATGCGATTGCGTGTGATGTGTCATCCTTTCTGGGCCAGACCTGAACATTTTGAACTTATACCTCCAATTCTTAAAAGAGAGAGAATGCTCACAAATAATTTTACTGATGGTTTATTTATCACTCACCTTTCTCTCCTTGTTGAACTTGCTACATTAATGCGAAATGGCACAGTGAAAAATATGTCAGTAGTGAATCCCAAGCTGTGGCTCAATGAAAGTTTTCACTTTGCACAACCATGATAAACGTGGCCTATTTTTTGTCAGATGCTGGAAAATCCAGAAATCAAGTGAGGTTACTCAGTAGATACATGCATGAACTTCTTGGTATTCAAATCCAACAATCGCCATTAAGAACTTGGAGCCTGGTTAAACTTTAATCCCTTTAGTTGGGAGAGGGGGTTTAGAGAAATAATGTGCATGCAGATTGAGGTGCAAAAAGTATCTTTGAGCTTAATTATATCTTATCATTTGATGGCGGAAATTTGTCCTTTTGTTTTATTGTTTGCATAATAGATATTCACGGAGATACTAAAATTGGGATATTAATTCTTGAATCCAGTGGACCTAGTGTAGTAGTTACTTCGGGATGTAGTAGAGGTTTTGGAGACCCACGTTCTACTGAACTGTACCAAAATTGCTTTCTTATCACAATAGTTTCAAGCTATATCTTAAATGAACAATAAAGTGAAGGGAATCCAAGCCTGTACTTCAAGTTAGAGCTAGAGCATTTCTTTGTCTCTTCCCATCCAAGGGACAAAGAAGTGAGAATTACTTTAAGTGGGTGCCACGAATGGGTTCCTACTTCATAGCGGTAGCTGGTCTATGGCATAGGCATTTCTTCCAAAGCTGGACGTTAGGTTGGGTCTTTTTTTATGAAACCTCCAGAAAAGTGCTGATGGAAAGAGTTTGTTCGAGCATCAAATGCAACTTGAAGAGCATTTAATGAAAAACCCTTCAATGCGTCGCGCAGGGGGGGGGGTGGAGGCGATATCTATGGCATACGTTATTCTCGGATCTCAAGAGACAGATAAAGTCGGTCTTGTTACCATCACTTGATCAGTTCGGGCTGTCACAAAATGCTCTCCAAGAAATCATCTTGTTGGATATTATATAAGAATTCAAAATTATTTCATTACCTACTGGAGGAAGGAAACTTCATCCATACCAGACTAATTCCTTCTATGTCTAATGAGCCTAGCCTAATAGCTTCAGTAGTTCCATCTCTCTAAGCACATGAATTCCGGTGGAGGGTGAGGACCCGGATATAGAGGTATCTATGGCATGTTGAATTAAAAAATAAAAATAAATGAATCTTAGTAGCGCCCAATGTAATGGTAATATATGTTTCGGTGCAGCTAAACTTTTCTCTCGATGCACATGGGCTGTTTCCAGTAAAGAGATAAAGATGTATATCTAAGGAAGCTTTGTTCCTTTACAAAACACTGGAAATTGTACAAAAATAACAAATATACCAAATTGCGGAAGTACTAGAATTAGAAAAGTCTTATCCTTCCACCTTGGAACAGGAATTTGTGGCATTGAAAGGATAGCTTTAGCACTGGAGAACTGCTCTTAGACCCTGTTTGAGCCACATTATTTGAAAAAAATGCATTCTTCAATAGTGATTTGACATCATTTCAACCACACATTTTTCAATAAAATAATATTACACGCAAATCCAAATCTTTTCCTTATTTTTTAACCACACATTTCCCCTCAATACACTATTCAAAAATGCATTTTCATTCCAATAATGTGGCTCAAACAAGGGCTTAGCATATCCTTGTGAATAACTAATTCTTGAGCGAAAAGTATTATACTTTTATGCATTAATCTATAGGAGATAAATAATAATTTATTGAAAAATATACCTCTCCTTAACCTAACTCAAGTTTTTGATCAAATATGAAGATAGAAATTACAGCATGCTAACATTTTTTACTTATTGCAGTGTGAATCCTTGATTGAAGAATTATTAGCATCCCATTCAACAGATCTGCAGCAGCGTGCTTATGAACTCCGGGCACTCATTGGTTTAGATGCTCATGTTGTTGCAAATTTAATGCCAATGGATGCAAGTTGTGAAGATATTGAGGTGATATTTATCTTTGCAATTAAATTTGAATTTTTAACTGTCATTGTGTCGGCATTCTCTTGTGAATTTCATTTTGGGCTTGCCATAGAAGGGATATAAAATTGTAGATTCTACATACATATGGGTAACTCAGATGTTTACCTAGTTTATTTGCAACCTCCATTTCTTTTCGTTTTCCTAGAATGAAATGGTGGGGCGTCTCAGATTATTCAAACATTTAGCCCCTGTTTGGTGTGATTAAAGTTAGATTTTTAGTAGATTTTGATCAAAGTTGATTAAAATGCATGGTTGAAAAGATGTGGGTACTATAAAATATGTGGTTAAAATTAATTGTTAATTTCGACTTAAATTACTCATGGGATGTGTGAATAATTCATTCCCATGGAAGTTGGTTTGGCAGTGTAAATTGCCTCCTCGGGTGGCATTCCTATTGTGAACAGTTGTGAGGGGACATGTCTCAACGGTGGATAATCTTCGTCGTAAAGATTTTTACGCAACCGAGTGGTGTTATATGTGCAAGAAGGATGGGGAGACGATCGATCATCTGTTCATTCATTATGATGGTGTACGTTGGATTTGGAGCATTATACTGAGTTCACAATTTATGGATTGGGTGATGCCTCGTCGTATAGAGGACGTGAAATGGGCATGACGTAGAAAACTTCGGGATAAGGATGGCAAACTAGCATGATACCTTATTCGGAGCTGCATTGTATGGTGCGTGTGAAGAGAAAGGAACAACCGTTGTTTCGAAGACCAAACAAAGACAAGAGAGTAGATAAGAGAAATATTTTACTTTATCTTGTATTATTGGTTTAATGCTGTGGCTAGAAATTCTGTAGATGGGTTGTCTAATTTCATGTTGTTCCTTAATGGCTTAAAGTGATTGTACACCCCCCGTGTATTCTCTTTTAAGTAATAAAATTATTTGATTACCTATCAACCAAAAAAAAAAAAGTTGTAAATGATTTGATCACACAAGTTCAGCTAGTGGGCTGTAGTTTTTCATGAACTTAGGGTCAAGTGCTGCATTGTCTATGTTGGAATGTGTTATATAGATAGACCAATACTCAGGTTTCGGTAACTTTTACATCTAATGTATGGTATGGATCTATTGACCAAAGTAGTTTCTAGTGATATTTCCCATGTTTGAGTATGCTTCAGGTCAGATAAAAGCTAGTAAAGCTCGCTGTCTTGGCATCCTACAAATCTAAGATAGATTTGAGTTGATAAGGAAGCAAGTCACAGGAAATACATGGCTGGAACTTCTAAAACGACGGTCTATAGCCATAGGAGGACAAAATACTAACGTATTGAATAAAAAATAATTAATGTTGGATAAAGTTGAACTACTTTGGCATGACTTTCTGAGTGGATCTTAAGATTGCTTCTTTGATAAATGATTTCAGCAACAAGCTCTAATTCCAGCTTTCTTATATGCTTGCTGTTATGGATCCTCCTACAAGATATAGTCTGTAATTTGCATATATAACCCCAACTTCTTCTTCGAGCAAGAAGAAAGGCTTATTTACTGAGAAGCATATGAATTCTGATTATTATTCTCCGGTCTTTTTTCTGTTTATCTATTTGCTCACATATTACTACAGAATATTGTTTTACCATGCAGATCAAATTATTGAAAATTCTTGGGTTACTGGGGAATGGTGACAAAAAGGCCAGTGAACACATGTATACCATCGTGGGTGACATCATGAGAAAATTTGATTCCACAAGTAATATTGGGAATGCCGTTCTTTATGAGTGCATATGCTGTGTTTCTTCAATACATCCCAATCCCAAGTTACTCGAAACTGCTGCTGATGCCATTTCGAAATTCTTGAAGGTTTGTATTCTGCAATTTCGTCTGATTCTTTCCCATTTCTTTTCATGTTTTTGGATCTCATTACCCTTAGTGCATATGCGGTGGATCTCTAGAGTGATAGTCACAATCTGAGATATCTTGGAATTGACGCTCTTGGTCGGCTGACAAAAATAAATCCAGAAATTGCCGAACAGCACCAACTGGCTGTCATCGATTGCTTAGAGGTGAGAAATACCATTTTTCTTGTACTACTTTTGAAATATTATGAGGTAGTTCATGAATGAAGGTGGAGAGGGGGAAAGAGTTCGAAGGGAATCAAATGGCTAGAAGGTGGGAAGATATGGAGATATGTGGTTTCTTGTTTTATTACTGTCCCCCTATTAGAAATTCCTTCTGATCTTTTAGGTTGGATGGCTTTACATCCTCGTAGGATGGTTTCCATAAATTTTGTACAAATGTTGTGCTTCCTCAGGTCAGCCAAAGTGAAATACCTTACTATAAAATTTCTTAGTAAAGATAGCAGGTTTTTGTTTTTCACTTGTAAGTTTTTTTTCGATACATAGATAGATATGTTCCTTTAGTTTGTCTATTTAAATTCCAGTTTGAAGCCTGACACGCTTCATGATACAGGACCTAGATGACACTCTAAAGCGCAAGACATTTGAACTCCTTTACAAAATGACGAAGTCTTCAAATGTTGAAGTAATTGTAAACCGTATGGTTGATTATATGATAAACATCAATGATAATCATTTCAAAACTGAAATAGCGTCTAGATGTGTTGAACTTGCAGAGCAATTTGCCCCAAGCAACCAGTGGTTTATACAGGTTATATTACTAATTCCATCTGCTTTTATAGATTACCCTGACACTGTTGCGTTTATAGTTGAGAAATTTTGATTTTCTTCTTGTTTTGCCCTGTTTACTTGCCAGACCATGAATAAAGTATTTGAGCACGCAGGCGACCTAGTTAATGCCAAAGTGGCTCATAACTTGATGCGGTTGATTGCTGAGGGATTTGGAGAGGATGATAATATCGTGGATAGTCAGCTCAGATCATCTGCTGTATGTTTTACTAGTCGGTTTCTTTTGGTGTTCGATTCATATACTTCATGTCACTTACGATAATTAAGACAAGTATATGTGTCTTGAATTCTTCTTGTAATCAGCTTGAAAATATCTCTGAGCTATGTTCTGTAGTTTTGCATGATCTCGTGACAGTATCAATTATTCAAGTCTAGAATAAGATATGAAGATTCCACTGTGTACTTATTGTTTCCATATTCTTGTTAAATCTTGGGCAAGTAGTGTCTCTTTGCTTGACTTCAATTTCAAGCAACGAAGCCAGTGTTTTTCATTTTGAGTCTTTTAGCACTACTTTGATACTTGGCATGAATTAATTAATGCCATGTTGTTTTGAATCTTCACTAGTTTGTCTGGCCTTTTGTTGCTACTGGTTCTTCTGAAAATAGTATTTACACAGAATCTGGGGATATTATGATGGTGAACATTAGGTCTCTTCGTCAAGAGAACAGTTGTGGAACATTAATCTGAAATTCTTTGTGTGGCAAATAGGATTCTGATATGTACATAGAATCTGGGGATATTATTGTGGTGAATATTAGGTCTCTTCGTTAAGCGAACAGCTGTAGAACATTAATCTGAAATTCCTTGTGTTGCACATAGGATTCTGAAAATTTAATTTTCATGGAAAGACCAAAAGTTGGATGACCAGGCGTGTCGGGACTCTGTTTCTCCAACTCGTCTTTTTATCTAAATGAATTGTTGCGTTTGACTATTTGGTTCTCCAATTTCAGAATTTATGTCCTGAAACAGATTCCACAGGCAGGCCGCAAGCAATCTACATCTGTTGCTGCTAGCCTGCTACAATCTGCCTTTGGGCCCATAAATGCTCGCTTTGTGTGATAATTATTACTAGATAATTCTGAATTATTATGAGAAACTTGATTATATTCCATTGGTTCCTATATCTGGTGGCAGCTAGCTGCTAAGAAAGAAAGCATTTCTACCATTCGTGTATGTTACACTTCAAAATAAAAGTTTGGCTGATGCTTTTGCCTAATCTATTATCTAGTGCAATTATCTTTTCCTTTCAGCTCGATTGTATTTCAGCTTGATATAATCATTAGAAGTTCATCTGTTTTGCCTCTCTGTTACATGCATAATGGCTAGTTTAGGGGGAAAGAGAAGCAAGATGTTAGATAAAATATGTAATTAAGTTAAGGGTGAAATATCACAATACACAAAAGTTTAGGATCATATCACTTGATTCAAGTTTCCAGGACGTGTTCAGCTTACGCTAACTTATTGGTCAATTACATTATTTTATGTCTCTTTTGGTTGAGGTCATAAAGTTCTATTTATTGCAACATATGGTGGATGAAGGTGCTATGTAATATTTTCTCTTCACCTGGTTGTTAGAGCCTGAGTTTTTTTTATTTAATTTTTGGTCTCCCTAATAATACCCAGACAGCTATTGGCACTGGCTATGAACTAAAATGACTACATGACAGTAAATATTAAAAAAATTCAAAGAATATTGACTTAAGTCTTGACGAAACTTTACTCATTATCATTTAGCCTTTGTTTGGCCACCATTAAAATTATAATTCATTTTTCTCTCTCTTCTTATCAACCACACATTTTTCAATAAAACAATATTACTCGTAATTCCAAAACTTTTTCTTCTTTTTTAATCCCACATTCTTCAAAAAAAAAAATTATATTTATATATTCAAACCATAAAAATTTCTAATAATGGGGGCCAAATTGGGGCTGACTAAAGATACAGGAATAAAATTGATAATAATTACTTATAAAGTTTTATCTCTCTACCTAGTATTGTTGGCATCCAAGTTACTTCAGTAAAATATTATGAAATTCATTACAGTGGTTAGAGGAGTTCCAGTTATTTTATAGTCTATGCAGGATTAATGGGTCAGCGGGGAAAGAAATTGAATTTGTCCTATTTCCACTATTAAAGAAGGTCATTATTCTGTAATTCCATGTTCTATGATGGTTCTTTCCCAATAAAAACACTGTTGCAACATTTCTCTCCTACTGCACTAAACACGTCATGTATTAATGTGATGCATATTGATATTTCATGATGTTATGCTTTGTTCTTTGAAACTATATAACTCTTTCATTGTGGGTGATTTCTTGATTGACATGAGTAGATCGATCTACAGATTGTGAAAGTAGCATTTGCTGTTTCTAAGTGCACTTGCTTGAGAATGGTGGAAATGAATCAACATTATGGTTCTGTTTTTTTTGCTTATAACTGAAGTTATTTTGTCCACTTGCAGGTGGAGTCGTATACTCGAATTATTGGGGAGCCAATACTTCCATCTGCATTTCTTCAAGTATGTTTTGTTACTCATTGGATCTTCAAGCATTTTGTTTTTGTTTTTCTCTGTCTATGTTGTATCACATTTGAGATATGATTCTATTATTTTCTTTTGGCTTGGGCTTACTCTATTGCAGACACAAATCTTGCCTCTGGTAACTATTTGCTAGTTTTATGTTGCAGGTCATTTGTTGGGTCTTGGGGGAATATGGTACTGCAGATGGGAAGTATTCTGCCTCATATATCAGTGGGAAATTGTGTGATGTGGCAGAGGCACTTTCAACTGATGAAATTGTCAAAGTATGTGTTACTGTGTTATTTAGTTTAGAGGCATGCATATTTTAGGCTAATTTGTTTTAAAGTGTGCTGAATTTACTTGTTTCTATTTCAAGCATTACTTGTTAGCCGTGGCATATAGAAATGAACGTACACAAATGCTTGTTAATTTTTATTTTCTGCTCATAGTATTTAATCCTTTTTGAGCTGTAAAATTAAGTCAGCTAAGCTTCAACGGTTAGGAGCGATTGGTTACTGCATAACTAGTGATGAAATGCATCCAGCAATTTTTCAGTTATAGTTGGACTAGATTATGTTAATTGTTGTTTTTTAGGAGTCAGGGCGGTTGCTTCAAATGCTTATGGTTTCTAGCAAGAATAGTTTTTTGGTAGCACGGACACTTCAACTAGGATAACGTGTCCGTGTCCGACACGTGTCGGATGCGTGTCGATACCGACACTCATTGGACACTCTACATTGAATATTTTTCATTTTTTTTAATAAAAATATTATTATTTTTAATTCAAAGTTATTAGTAAATAATAAATAAGTACTCATAATTAAAAGATTTCAAAAAAAAAAAATTAATAATAAGTGTAAAACTAAATTTATATAAAGGAAGACTTTTGAAAAATTTAATCAACGTGTGTCGGCTATGTATCGTGTAAGTATTTTTTTGAAAAGTCGCGTGTTGACGTATCCGACAGATATCGTGTCGAACACGCGTGTCCGTGTCGATGCATCATAGGGTCACAAATTCTAGCAAATTAAAAGATAATGAAAGTAAGCCAAAGAAGTATTCTTCATGAAGAAAATTGCTTTATGATCCCAAGCAATCTCCTGAGGAACTATGTGATACTAGAGCCGAAGAAAACTGGTGGACTTTTCTCAATATCATTGCATTGTCAATATAATATGATCCAGATATGATCAATTTTTTGTCTATGTATGAAAGTCAAAAACCTTCTACATTTTGGCGACTGGATGGTCACTAGCTACTGTTATTTTTTGACATGGATTCTGATTGAAGAAAATTAGGTCTATAAGTGGTGCTGTATATACAGTCAGCTTTTGTCTATTCATAAATATCAACTATATTCATGGTGGACAATGAATAGTCAATAGCTCTAGTCAGCTCGCTTGTCCAATTATAAAAATCAGAACAACATTTTACATGGAAAATGAATAGTCGGTAGGCCTTGAACTCCCCCCCCCCCCCCCCCCCCCCTCTCTCCCTAGAAGAATAAGTCGATATATTTTCCAATCGCTGTTATCATAGGGTAATCAGAAAGCACATGATAAATTGATGTGGCCTCCAGGTGTGGATAATTGTGCAGGGTCGTGCATACTTTGCAGCTGTTCCTTCAGTGTTCAAGTAGAGAAATTAAATCTAATACGAAAAATGTTGGTAATGTTTTTCCCTGCTTATTTTGAAGGCATACGCAGTCACAGCCCTTGGGAAAAATTATTCTTTTGAAATAGCAGCTGGGAGAAAAGTGGACTTGCTTCCTGAGGTAGGCTTTTCTAACCTTGTGCAGTTTTACTTTC